AGTTCAGGCTCTGTAGTACCTTCAAGGGGATGTTAAATGTCATGATTCACAACCACAATGAAGGAGGAAAACATTCAGTTTGCCTAGTACAGTGAGCAAAGTGCTCTTTTTAACACTTGGATCTTAGTTGCTTGACCTCTGCATTCCTAGAACACTTAGTGCACTTTCAAAAATTTATTTTCAAGATTTAAACTTATTTTCAAAAGTTAGAACCTATAGTTTGATTTGAATAAGATCTAATAGATTAAATGATTAAAATGAACATACAAAATTTTTTTTTTTTTTTGTTAAAGGAAAAACTGCAAAATTCCAATGTCTAGACAATGCCAAGTTTTGAAAAATCTCTTTGGAAATACTATTTTTAATTAAAAAATATATTTGGGGGAGGTAAATTACCATTGCTGACCATATTAACTTCATGATATTTTCTCCAATGTGGCTATAATGAGGCTCAAGTAGGATGAAAAAGCATTAATTAATTCACTAATTTTACTTTTGTATTTGCTCCTAAATTGAAGTACAGCTATATTTAGAAGGCTGAACATTTGATCATTTAGTTACTTGATCTTACATTTATATGATGTCAATGAATAAATTTTGACCTAATTTATTCATTTTTAAACAAGATGTAGTTTTATCCTCTTTGCATAAAACCAAAACATAATGGGAGCTTCCTAGTACCAACATAATGCAAATGAGATGCACACATGGGTCAAATAAAAAATATGAATATCTCATAAAGTTCCCCTTTTCAAAGCATACTTGATTATCAAAGAATACATTTTGTAGGTACAAGATGTTCTATGAATGTTTGAATAAAGCTATTACAGTGAGAAAGAAAAATGTGTACTTTTTAAAATATCTGCTATAATTATTTTTTCTATAGAGGCAAATCATATTTTTATCAATGCCTATTGCTGCAATTTGCCTTTTGTAAATATTTCTAAACTACATATTGTTTTTTGGATATTTGTTATTTAGTACCATTTTATAATTGTTGCCAACTTGATGTATTAATGGTGATGAATTTGTTGGAAAATTAAAAAATAGAAGACAATAGCTTCATGGCATTTGCAGGTAAATGGATGGAGTTGGAGAAAATTATGCTAATTAAGCTAATCCCCAGAAACTAAATGCTGAATGTTTTCTTTGATATAAGAATGTTGATCCATAATGGGGATGGAGGTGGGGAGCATGGGAGGAATGGAAGAACTTTAGATAGGATTGCCATGGCAATCTTACTGCGGACTCTCCTTTTCAAGGGGAAGATATGTGGATTCATTCTCCAACATACTTCCTTCTCCATACGGTCAAGCCAAACAATTAAAACTATGACAAACTCTAGAGTAAGTGACACCAAAGTGCAGGAAAAGGTACCTCCTCTGGACTGGAGATGAAAGATCTGAAGAGTTAGCAATAAAGTACAGTAGTTGAGAAACAGGAGAACACTGGAAAGTAGTCAGATAGAATAGCCATGGAAATATTGGGAGGGTATAAAAATCTGACCTATTGAAGGGGTTAGAATCAGTTAATAATGACTACATGTAGAACAGGAAGAAGAAACGTGTAATATGTATGCAACTGTAGAGGAAAGGCAAGACTCAAAGATGATCTTTCTAAACAAATAATAATACAGTAGGTTTTAACTCAATTGTATTGATAATCATAGTAAGCACAAATGGTCTAACTATATTAATTAAAAGGCATATAAGATACAAATGTAAGAAATAATGATAGCTAACCAAAATAAACCCATGTTAAATATAAATACATAGATAGGTTAAAAAGAAAATGATGAAAAAGAAATCTCATGCATTTAATATTTATATACTTCAAGTATATCATATGAAAAAACACCTGTGGTTTCACCATCAAGAATGAACAAGTATTCATGATTTTATATATGTTAAAGCTGTTTTTGAATAAAAATTACCACTATTATTGACACTTTATTGTCTTCTAGACACTGTCAAAATAATCTTGGCTGAAGGTTAAAATGTCATATAAAAAATTAAGTCCTTTTTCTGGGGAAAAAAAAGAATTTTAGTTAAAACTATCCTATAAAAAAATCCCAAGAACTGGCTAATTTTACTTGGTTTTTGTACTGTTTGAAGATTGTATGACACTTAATTCTATAATAACTCTCTAGAAAACAGATGAGGAGGGAACATGTCCCCACTCATTTTATGAAGCCAGCATTATTATACTAACGTTGCACAAAGACATGATAAATAATAAAATTTGTAGACTAGTATACTTTATAAACAGAGCAGTAAACATCCTTTTAAAATTTGGGAAATTTAATTCAATCATATATAAAATGATATGCCATGACTAAGTGAGGTTAATCCTAAAAAGGCAATGTCAGCCTGACATTGGAAACTCAATCAATTCAATTTGCCATATTATCAGACTAAAAAATTAAAACCACAAGATTATCTTTAAAAATGCAGACAAATATTTCAGTCAATATTCACTCCTGATAAAACTGTGGTATACTAAAATAGGGAATTTTCTAAATATAATAAAGAACATCTTAGAAAAACCTATAGTTTCATTCAGGGGTGAAAACCTAAATGTTTTCCCCTAAGATCTGAAATGAAGCAAGGTTTTTGGCTGGCACTGTTTCAATTCAACAGTGTACAACATTTCCTAGCCAGGGTAACAAGGCAGGCAAAAGAAATAATAGGCATACTAATGGGAAAGGAAGACAGACATCTTGTTTATTTTCAGATGACATGATTAGTTACATAGAAAAATCCTTAGGAATCCACAAAACACTATTAAAATTAGTAAAGGTCACAGGTAACAGGTTAATTGCATTTTAATATTCAGTGGCAACAAACAACCGGAAATTGAAGTGGAATAAATAGTACTACTTATTATAGCATCAAAAAGTGACATATATACAACATTTAACAAAATCTTCACTATTTTATTGCTGAGAGAAGTTAAAGAAAAACTAAATAAGTGAAGTGGTATTATGACCTTTGTAGATTAGAAGAAACACAATGCTTAAGATGTTAGTTCTCCCCATATAAATTCATAAATTCAATCCAATCCTAATCATAACCTCAGCAGATTTTGCTTGTTTTTTTGAGAAATTGAAAAGTTGATTCTACTATATTTATGGACATGTAAAAGATCTAGAATAGCCTATTTTTTTTTGAAAAATAAGTACAAATTACAGGTTTCACACTACTTTAAGACTTAGTATAAAGCCACAAAAATGACATTGTGGTATTGGCATCAGGATACATGTATATCTCAGTAGAATAGATGTAGTCAACATAGAAACACACACACACACATACACACACATATACTTAAATTTGTTCATATATATATATATATATCTCATCTTACACCATATTAAGAAAAACGGATGAAAAACTCACAAAATAACTATACAGTGAGACCTAAATATAACAGGGAAAGTAATAAAAACTAAAGGGAAGCATAAGAAAATCCCTGTGACCTTGAGTTAGGCAAATATTACTTAAATTTAACATTAAAACATGATCCATAAATGGGAAAAATCAATAAATTAAATATCATCAAAATTAACAGACATAGCCAAGTTATATCACTGGCCAATAAACAAATGAAAATATGTTCAATATCAGCAGCCATCTGGGAAATGCAAAATCAAACCACAGTAAAATACTCCAAAGAATGGCTAAAATTAAAAAGTCTGACTACTCCAAGTGCTGATGGGGTATGGAGCAACTGAAACCTCCATACATTTCTGGTGGGGATGCATAGTGGTACAGCCCCATTGAGCAGAGTTTGACATCTCTCATAAAGGTAAACATACTCTTATCATAAAATCTAGCAATATCATTTCTAGATAAGGGAAATAAAAATATTTGTCTACAAAAAGCTCTGTATACAAAGGTTCATAGCAGCTTTATTCATAATTGCTCCAAATTAGATACAAGCCAAAAGTTCATGAAGAGATAAATAGATAAATTATGGAATGTCCATGCTAAGCACATTTTACTACTAATAAAAAATACATATACTTACAATGAAAGAAAAAGTTTACTTCCTAACACTGGCTTAAGTGTTCTACACTGAGAAAGTCATCACATAGAAAATGTTAATGTCGTTTTCAAAGTAAAAACATAACAAATTACCAAATAAAGTCTTTCTCAGTAAAGATCACTTAAACTGGTTCTAGAAAGGGGAAATATACATAAATTTAGTAGCAAATGTATTCTAGTAACTTTAGTAAGATTTGTTGCAGTTACTCTGTATTCTTACTTAAAGAAAAGTAATAGCTGAATAATTCATACAGCAAAGATAAATCATATATGATGGAATGATAAAAGTTACTACTCTTCCAACTGCCCTCTCCCTCCCTCCAGAAAAAAATCTCTCAAGCTAGGGAGCCTGTAAACATAAGAGAAATCTTTAATTAACTTGGGAAATTAAAAATGACTTTTATAAGGCAATTCTAGTAACAAGACATGCTTAGATGAACACATAAGGACATAATAATAAAAAAGGAGAAGGTATTCCAGGTATGTCACTGACTACTAGGCAGCATTTACACACAGTTCATATTAAGACAGAACTGAAATTTTTTAATACTATCAACTAGATAAACAGTACAGTCAAAGAAGTATGGGACTTAATTGCATATTTCATGAGGTCTTTATTTAAATTTCAATGCATATTGATTGTAGGACGAGAAAGAGCATAACTTTGAAAAAGAAAACATAGTTTGAGAAGCCTGCCATCCTCACTGATGTGTCTGAGCTACAGAGCTAAATGCTTGTTACTTCTGTGTTTCTTTGTATATTCTGGCCAATTGCTAACATTTTTCCAAATATTTTTTAACCATAGTTTTATTTTTTATGTTTTTATTGGTGCATTCTAGTTATACATAAATTAGGCTCATTCTGACATAATCATGCAAGCATGGAGCATAATTTGCTCTACTTCAGTCCGTAGTACTTCCCCATTTCCCTCACCCCACTCTTTCCCTGTTATAGATATTTTCTCAAAGTTTCTGGAATCTCTGCAAAAGAAATCCTTTTGCTCACTGCAGAAAATGATCAGACTCTTGGATTGTGATAACATGATACTGACGTGTTGGTATGTGAGCACAACCACACACACCCTCCATAGCTGAGGTAAGTTTCCTAGTAAGCCAAATGATTTTGGGTCCCAGAAATTAAAAAAAAAAAAAAAAAAAAACAAACTTGGGCGCATTTTTAAATCTTAAGTTTCTTGACTAAAGATTTTATTTTGGTTCTTGTAGAAATAGATAGCTAAATTAAAAGATAATTTTTCTTATTTTATTTATTTGTGTGTGTGTGTGCATGATGTGCTGGAGATCAAACCCATGATAGCCATGGGTAGGCTAGGCAAGTGTCTACCACTGAACTACATTCTCAGCCTGATATCTCTTAAGTGTTAATATTGAATAAAAAACAAATATCAATTATGGTCAATACCTGTGCATTGCTTTCCATGTAGCAATTGTTCATATTAATTCATCTAATCTTTGCACCAGTCCTGTAAGATAGGAATTACTATAATCTACATTTTGAACATAAAGTGGTAGAGAAAGTAAGTAAATTGCAAAATCCCATTGCTAGTAATGGTATAGCCACAATTCAAAATCAGGTTGTTTCCAGAATCTACTTTCTTAGTCATTAATCTATACTGCCTAGAAAAATTTTATATCCTAATCAATTAACTAAAGTTATTGCTTCTATATTATATTGAAATTGATCCCTTCTGGATGTCGCTGTTTGTCAATTTTGCCTTAAGAATTGAAAAACTTCATACAATGTATTTTTTTTTTCAAAAGCTGTGCAGCTTAATTTATTCTGATGAATTTTAGTGACTTGCAACAGTAGCGTGTATTTATTCTTGCCGGCCACCCCCTACTTTCATTTTATTAATTTCCTACAGGAAATTGCAAGTTAATAGAAAAAGCAGCACTGGAACTGCCTCACATCCTATAGTTATTAATTAAAGCAAAGTCTGGTTCAGTAACTTGGGATACTAAAAATATAGAGTTAAACAAAGCTGACTGCCTCTTGAAATGAAATTTCAACTTCAATAGTCTGTCTAAAAAATTTATGCATTAAAATCCACATCTTCCCTTAAAGAAATTCTCCACAAAAATATTTAGTGAATAAAGTGATTCAATATTTAATATTTAACCATTCTTCACTCAGACTTCATAAGTGAAAGGAATCCCAAAACCACCAAAATAAATTACTAACGTTTAAATAAGTATCTTTGAAAAGCAGTAAGTCACATCATTCTACTATATCCCATCCACAGGTTATTACCCACAATCAATAAAGCAAGAAACTGTATAAACTGTCTTATTAATTTTATATAATGGTTAGTAAACTTTAAAATACTGTACTATAAAACTTTTAAATGTTCCTGATGGCTTTAGATGGCACTAGATAATTTATCATTTTATGTGGCATAAAGTGGTAGGTAAGTGGATACCATGCTGGGAAAATGCGCGTAATTTCTGAATGTGAGAATCCATTCCATTGTGGAGTTTTTATTTTACATGATATAAAGTTATTATTGGGATGATTTCTAGAATCTAGTTCCATAAAAATCCCTGACAACCACGCCAGATGTGTCTTCAAGTCACACAGCTGCTTATGTATACTTGTGTCACTCACAGTCCCCCACCCAGGACCTGTCAGTTGTGTGTGGGTTCTGTCATGTTACAGACTCGGTGATACTCTCCCATCAAACTTTTAGCAATGTCAAGTAGGTGATGCTGTAAGGGAAGGAAACAGATGGAAAAAAATAGTGAACAGTAAACATTTGACCCAATACAGCTAAATATGAGTGGTAGGAAGTGCTCATGTCCCTAACTACTATTTTGAGTTTTTATAAAAACTTGCCTTAAAGAATTATTAATGGAAGAAAAAGAGAATGAATCTGCAGAAGTAGACAACCCAAGATGTATATTCAAGGAAATGAGATGAACTACTAGAATCATAGATAAGGCCACTCTGGATTTCTGGACTAAATAACAAGAAAGCATATTTTCCAACCATCAGTAGGGAAATGGAGAATGTTTGGGTGTAGATTGTGCCCCTTGAAAAATACTAAATTTTTCTGTTTTCCTAGAAAGCATACTGCATTGAAATCAATCCTTACCACCCAGTACATACAAATAACATATACAATTTGCAATTTATTCTCTAGACTTACCCAATAATTTGCTAGGCCAGTCTATAAAAAAATAAATGGAAACATGTACATAAGAAATGGTACAGAATAAATTATTTGCATATTAAATAACTTTTTATGTTGACTTCCCTATAATTTTAAAATATTTCCCATTATGGGAGAGAGGAAACCTATACCAGTACATGATAGTCCAACCTACTGGCTTTTATTTTAAGGTTCCTGGTATCTTTGTGCTTAGTGGTACATATGAAAAATCTATGACAAATTGCTATAGACTAGGTGGCTTAAACAACAAATATTTATTTCTTGTAGTTGTGGAAGCTAAGAAGTTCAAGATCAAGGCATGGGGTGCTGGCCAACCTGGTCTCTTGAGGGTTCCCTGGTTTAACAATGACCTTCTGCTCATTATATCCTCTAGTGGCTCTGTGTCTCTTCTAATAAAGGCACTAATACCTTTCATGAGGCCTCCACCCTCATGACCTAAACATCTCGCAGAGTTCATTCTGGAGAATGAAAGTTGTTCACCGCTATATTTTAAAGTGAATTTCAGGTATCTGAATACCAGAGAGAATATAATGTAATCTCAAAATGTAACTTTAAATAAGTTGTATTTATAATATAGTTATTGAGTACCTTTTACTTGCTGTGTATCTTAGACCAGCTACTTAACTTTTTCAAATTTTATTGTGGTCCTTTGGAAAGTAATAATAACAAAGAGTTCCCAAAAGAACTAAAGAAGACAGTCATGTATCATGACTTACCACAGAACCTGGCCTATAGTGAAAACTAAATGTTTTTAGTTAAATGTCAGCTACATGAGCCTAATCCTTTCATTTAAAATGTATATCAATAATTATAAAAAAACAGATTTCCTAGTTTACAGACATCTTTCCTGATCTTTATGCTTTTTGGCAAGGTCTTGAGCCTAAATACCAAGAGATCTTCATAACTCAGAAGAACATAAGACAAAAAACTGGACTAAGCGTGCTGGTACATAACATCAAATACCTGCCCTAAGTTTGCAGTTGCTAGAATCTATTTAGATATTTGTTATTTTGGTTCATATTTTCTAAAGGAAAAAAAATGGGAAAATGTTCTCTACTGAGAATTTCATTAGAATTCAGTCTGTAGTAAACAATGTACTTAATCATAAAGATATACAAAAATCCAATTTTTTAAACACACACACACACACACACACACACACACACACACACACACACACCACTGAGACAAAAATTATGCCAGAGTAAATCTCCCTCTATATTTGTAATGGAAGCTATATATCAGGTGAAATGAAGAACAAAATGTGATTCTATTTTTCTCATTAATAGTTTACATAGTGATGTTTTATCTGCAAGGTCACATAAAATCAAATGTTTTATATATTTTGGTGAGGGGTTAATTCAAACCTTTCTTTAGTGACTGCTGGTAGACTTTTGTCATTACAATACATTGTATCCATCCTTCAGGAAAAAATGATGCATCATTTAAAAATATTAATACATAAATTTCATTGTATGAGAATTAGGACCAAAGTAATCCTGCTAAATTAATTTGGGTAAGTATATTAGACAAATAAATTAGCACCCTTTCCGTTCTAAAAGCACTCCACGCAATTTCCAGTCATTAAAAATACTTTCAGCTGCTTTTGTGATGTCCAACAGTAGCTGCATTTTAGAAAACTACAAATAAAATGAAAATCAGGAGTAATTCTGGAACAAGTCTTCTAAAACTGTTAAATAAAAAATGACATAATTGGTGTAAGCTCTTATAAATTCCAATGTTATATATTCTTTTTTTTTTGGCCAAATATTCATTGGGAGATGAACCTTTTCTAAAAGGAAATATAAAACTGGTAACAAATTGCAAAGGAGTCCCTGGATAGTGTTCTGGGAAAGTTTTAGGACTCTATCTGATTTGCTGATTTATGAACAAACCTATAGTCTTGTGACTTAATTTCTCTTAAGTCTATGAAAGTCTCTTACAGATGAATGTCATTATGTTTCATATCTATGTAGAATAAAAGCCAGGTCCCACAAAGCAAGCTGCATTCAATTATTTTCATTTTATACTGCAATTATAAAATAATGCTGGCTTAAAAATGTACTTCTGGAGAAAGAGAATTGTTCACCAACATATTTTAAAGTGAATTTCAGGGTCTGAATGCAAGAGAGAAAATAATTTAATCTCCAAATAAAACTTTAAATTAACTGTATTTACAGTGATTTTTTAAAAAAGTTTCCCACTGTTTCCTCTGATGAAAATTAATTTTTCCATCTCTGTGATTACTCTTGCAAGCTTATGATAGTATACTTTCTTATCAAAGAAAGATATGATGAAACTGTAACACCTATAAGATAAAGTTGAGAAGTTTCTTTTTTTTTCAGGGCAGAAGCAGACCTTTAGTTCAATTTCATAAGTTGAAAGGAAATGGCTTCTAATACTTCCATGTGGAATGGTGGCATTTTATAGCCCATTGCTAAAACAAAGTGAGTTCACTGTTATCACCACAAGGCAGACAATTCCTTTAACATAGAAGTCTCTGGAAAGAGGGAGCACAATGTTGGGATATTTAATAAGATTTGTGGGGAGGGCAGTATTTCTGGTGTAAGGTGGGTCTTCCAGCAGAGCAGGGCTCAATTGGGATTAGTTCAAGTGCTGTACATGATTTAGGATTGATGGGCACTCCAAGTAGGGTTTTCCAAGTAAACCTTGGATGGTAAACAGTCACATGATGCTATCAATTGAAAGAAATTAATATTCCTTTCAATGGATTTTCACAAAGTTCCTGAAAGGAGCAAGAAAGTTATTCTCAATTTTTATCTTCCTGGGCAAGAGTTTCTTGGAACAGTAGAATCAAACTGATAAAGACAGTAGAATAGTAGAGTCATTTTAATGAAGACAGCTAAAAAGTAAAGTCATGTTAATGTAGACAGGAGGCTGT